CCTCCCTTTTTTCATGATGGACTGGGGGGGGGGGGGGAGGGGTTCGAACTGGTAATGACCCCCCCCCGGTTTTCCGAAGAGTGGGTGGGAGGGGTTCGAACCGGTAGTGACCCCCCCGGTTTTCCGCCAGCAGCGGTAAAACACGCTCTTTCAAATCAAGACATACCACAGGCGTGGAACGGTGGGCACCCTATATACATAAAGATCGGAACCATGCCGCGAATGCATCACGTGCCGAAATGCAGGAATTTGCTGGAAGTGATGAAGACGAGGTGGCACATAATTGCTGCATGTTCAAGTCAAGCTGCTTGCTGCGTGCTCGGATGGCGAATCTCCTGCATGCTGCGACCTGCGGCGTAATCCACACGTTTGTCACACTCCTGCGCGGGATGCGAGGGCCCAGCATTATAGAACAAACAACAGATGTGTTAGTATACGGCCCCCGCTTCCAACAATGAGAAACACACCGTCGCCGCGGTCCAGCTCGCTTCCACTGAGCCACCTCTCCTCCATACGTTTTTCTGTGGTACCGTTCAAACGCACACAATCCAAGCTACTCGTGCGCAGGACTAACTCATGCAAGATTATGGGACAGCTCAAAGAAAGAGGATTGCATTGAAGGGCTGAGACATGTTGCATCCTGCGGATGAGGCCATCAACCACCGAACAAAATGAGATCCTGATGCAGGGTAACAAAAAATGCCACATTAACAACAAAACATTGTAATATGACAACGTGCAGGAGAGCTTGTAGGCTACCGTAGCTGACGCGCGCGGTGGTTTGGAAGGGTGCCCGGGCCAGAGCATTTCTGAGGAGGAGAAGGAGGATATGGTGGAGGTGGATGCGCCTCCGCTTCCGAAGCAGAGCGGAAGAAACCAGGGGGGCCCGGAGCGCCAACTCGCAGCACTCGTCGGCGGGGCCAGGAGCATGCCTCTCAGCTGGTCCAGCCCCGCCTTTCGGCGCACACCCCCAGCCAGCGCGCGCGCGCGCCTCAACCCTCTCTCGGCAGGAAGTAAGAGACAATGGCCCAATATCAGCATTCATGAAACAACACTGCGCCATTCAGCTCTGCTGAAGTCCATCTGGTTAGGATACTCGGCTCTCACCCGAGCGACGAGGGCTCGAGTCCCAGTGGCGAAATTTTGATTCCACGCCCTGGGCCTAAGATGGAAGGAGTCCGCGCTGCTGCGCCCCCCGCGGGCTTCCGACAATCCGTCGCCGTGTCTGAGCGGAAATGACGCGCTCGAGTGCCTGCGAGTCTCCACGTGGCCAACCGCTGACAAACTCATCCCCAAGCAGTTTCGCAAGGACCGGGGCGTCGCGTTCAGAAGGCTCGCGCAACGGGTCGGGCGTCTGATGATATGCCTTGCCTGTCGCCCTCGGCATCCGTTCCCGAGCGCTGACACGTGGCACTTTCAGCGGACCGTCGCCAGAGGCCCACCGACCCAGGAGCAAATGCATAGTTGTTTTGGAGGCCAATCTGTGCTTCAGCATGTAGAGGCATCAGGCTGCAGGGTGGATGTTGGCCAAACACGTCTCAATATTTGCATGGGCCAACCTACAAGCAACGCGTAGATGCATAAGCCAATCTTGAACGCAGCCTTATGGACTGGCCAGTGGAGAAGCGTGGGCGCATGGATGGGTGCAGAAAAAGACACATGCATGGGCCGGTGGAGAAGGACATCGATACGCAAGTGTATCCATTACGCGATGAAGTTAGCTCGGTCGTCTATACACGTAGCCTGCCTCACTTTCGCACAGTCTGTGGGACGATCCGTGCCTCGCGGGTTTCTCGTGGGGCTCTCCTGGGCTATCACGGGTCTCGTGGGCCTCGTGCGTCGGGCTCTCATGGGTTCATGAGGCGTTCTTGTGTGGCCGCGGGAAGGGAGAACGAAGAGGCGGAGGGGGAGGAGGAGGAGGGGGAGGAGGAGGAGAAGGGGGAGGAGGGGGAGGAGGGGGAGGAGAAGGAGGAGGAGGAGAAGGAGGAGGAGGAGAAGGCGTCTCCCCGCATTGTTCTAGCCAGTATTCCCTCGGGGTTCGCTCGGGGTCTCGTGGAGCTCTCGTGGGGCCCTCGCGGGGCCCCCCTGTGGGGCTCTCGTGGGGCTCCCGGGGGGCTCTTCGGGACTCGGTTGGGCACTGTCGGGCTCCTCTCTCCTTGCCCTCCTCGCTCATCCTCTCTCCTCGTCCTCCCCCTCCTTCCTCTCGTCGAGCTCCGTCGGGTTCCTCCTCCTCTGTCCTTCTCTGTCTTTTGGGCTCCGTCGGGTTCAGCCGGGCTTCGTCCCGATGCGTCCACATTCGTCTGGCTCCGTCGGGCTCTCGTCGGTCCCAGTCGAGCTTTCGTCGTCTCTCGTCGGGATCCCTCGGGTTCCGCCGGGTTCCATCGGCTCCGTCGAGTTCCGTCTGGCTCAGTCGGGTCCGTCGAGCTCGGTTTCCTCTTGCCTCCTCTCAACTCCTCTCGCCTTGTCTTCTTTCGCCTCCTCCCTCGTGCTGTCCCTCCCGTTTCCTCCCTGCGCCCTCGCCGTCGGCTCTGCCCTTCATCCCAAATGTGCTTCGCAGTCCTCGTCCCTTCCACCTTCGCTTCGCCTCCCTGCTCCCCATAGCCCCCACTGCGGGCCCTCCCAGCGACTCACTGACAGCCCACTAACGATCCTCACAGGGCTGTTGGCCCTCCAGAGTCGAGCCCAATGCTGGACCCAAGATTAAAGAAGAACAAACGCCATAAACAGAAAGTGTTGGCACTCCGCGCGGATTTCCTGGATCTGCGCTGGACCCCCCCCCTGGCGCGCGGAGCGCGCCAGGGGCGGCGCCGGAGGAGCCGCCGGGCAGGCTCAGCGCGGATCCAAGAAATCCACGCGGAGCGCCAAGAGTCAGGTCCGGAGTCGGGTCTAAGATTTTTCCTTGGTGGGGGCCCTAGTGGGTCCACTAGTGGGTCCGCTAGTGGGGCCTCAGTGGGCCCGCTGGTGGGGCCTCGGTGGGCCAGTTGGTGGGGCCGCAGTGGGCCCATTATATTTTTTCCCAACCATTCTGTGGTGTTGGGTCCTCGTTTTGAGAAGACGGCGCCCAGAGTTCTCCCCCTCCCGCCTCCTTTCTCCCCCTCCTCCCTCCTCCTCCTCCTCCTCCTCCCTCCTCCTCCTCCTCCTCCTCTCCTCCTCCTCCTCCTCCGCCTCCTCCTCCTCCTCTCTCTCCTTCTCTCCTCCTCCTCCCCCTCCTCCTCCTCCCTCTCCTCCTCCTCCTCCTCCTCCTCCTCCTCCATTCCATTTCCTTATAAATGTCCCTGTCCCGCCCCGAGTCCAATTTAAAGGGCGGGCCCTTCGTTTCGCCTGAGACTTCCTCACCATTTTTGACTCTGAAGCATGAAAAATTGGCAACGGTTTCACAAATGCAGGGCGGGTGGCTTTAAACATGTGGCTCTCGCCTTAGCTCGGCGCACATTCGTTCCAAACATTTGCAAGAGCTTCACGGATTGAAAGCGGGTGGCCTTCAAATGTGGCTCTCGCCTTTGGCTCTCGCCTTTGCGCGACGCACATATTTTCGATACAGATGCAGGAGAAACAGTTGCAAGAATTTCACAGATTGAAGGCGGGCGGTTTTCAACATGCAGCTGTCGTATTAGCGCCGCGCACATTCGTGTGAAACATATGCAAAATCTTCACGGATTGAGGGCGGGTGGTTTTCAACGTGTGGCTCTCCTTTTAGCGCGGCGCACATTAGTTTGAAACATCTTCCAGAGTTTCACGGATTGAGGGCGGGTGGTTTTCAAAATGTGGCTCTCGCCTTAGCGCAGCGCGCATTCGTTTTAACACCTTGTACAGGTTTCACGGATTATGGGCGGTTCCTTTTCAAAGTGTGGCTCTCGACTTAGCGCCGCACGCATTCGTTTCACAACATTTGCAAGGGTTCTACGGGTTTCCATCATCAACGCACCAGAAATGGTGTTGAAAGGATTCAGGATTACGTGGGCGCAACATTTACGTTGATTCGCTGTTTTGAAATCCCCAGAGTGGCGTTCTGGCACGATTCTGAATCGTCAACACGCAACAATACGGTTGACCCGTGGCGTTGGAATCCCGAGAACTATGTTTTGGCATGCTGCAGGATCTTCAAACGGTTGTCTTCCAACGTCCCTCAATGGAAATGAACCATTGTAGGAGGAGCTCGGAGGGAGGGTTCATTCCAACATCGTTGATGATTCTTGAGTTTGCACCTGTCCTTCTCCTCCTCCTGCTCCTCCTCCTCCTCCTCCTCCTCCTCGGGCCTTGGTGGGCCCGTTGCATTTTTTGTTGTGCCCGACCCCTTCTCGGCCTAGTGCCTGCGTCGAGGGTCTGCCCCTGGGACCGGCGCCCCGTGCCTGCGTCGAGGGTGTGGCCCCCCCCCGCAGAACTGGCACCCAGTGCCGCTCTCGCGGCGGAGAGCGCCGCCGAGCATCCCCAACGGGCGGCCAGCTGCTGGCAGCCTCAGTCTGCCCCCTCTCCCAGCAGCCTCCTCGGGCCCTCCCCCCCGATGCATCTCCCCCCCCTCCCCTCCAGCGACGAGGCGCGCGCGCGCGACAGGCAGGCGGTAGCACGAGCCGACTCGGCCCAACAACGCGCGCGCGCACGGTTCGCCGAAGGGCGGCGGCCGCGGCGCCGCGGACAAAAACGACCATCGGGCGCGGCGTGCGGCGGCGGAGCCCAGGGCGCTCGTAGAAAGCAGGGGCCTTCTTGAGACTGGCCCGGAAGTTTCTTGGAGGGCAGAAGATCCACCTCCATAATAATCACCCCGGTAAGCGAGGCCATCTAGCAAAAGTACCCAGAGAAGAAATCGAACTGGGCAGGGCTGTTTAGTAACTAACTACCCAAGGCCGTTTAGTGAACGTCAGTTGTCAGGTCCGGGCGGTGTTTCGTCCCTTGATTCCTGTAACGTGGCACGAACAGCCCTACAGCAGCACACCAGAAAAGAAGCGGGGCTCCACGGAACGCTGGCGCCACCCGAGCGTGCAAAGACCCGTGCGGAGCAGCATTTAGCCGGCGCCCGCGCGAGGCCCGAGGCTCTCCGCGGCAACCTTCCATCGCAGCCGCTGCCCGGAAACAAAGGGCAAGCCCGAAACGAAGCAGTCGCGCAAGTTCTGGCGGCCGCTTGCCTCCGAAGCAACGCAGTGAAGCGAGACGAGGACGAAGCACAGGCGGGGCAAGGGGTTTGGTGGGGCATGTCCTCTTGCGTACGGGCGGGCCCTGGAGGAAGAGAGAAAAAGAGGCAAGCAAGTCCCCCAGATCGCCGAACAAAAGCATGTATAGCAGTCGCCCCCCGGCCATCCTCCTGCGATCTCTGCACACCCCTCCTGCGGAGGCACACGCCCGACCTCAGGCAAAAGGGAGGGGACGAGGCGCAGGAGCGCCGAGGGCGTGCCGCGCTCGCCCCCCGACCGGCGCCCACCGCGGGGCACCGACCGGCGGCTTCCCGAGCCCCTCGGGCACCGCGCCTCGCGGGGGGAGAGCGCCTCTCTGCGCCGGCCTGCCCCGGAAGCGGCCGCGGGCGTCACAGGGTCGCGCCACGCCCGGGGCGCTGTGCAGCAGCCATGGGCCCAGCACTGCCGCCATCGTGGAAGACGACAGAGCGTCGGAGGCATAAACTTTTGGCGCTCCGCGCGGACTTCTGGGGTCTGCGCTGGGCCCCCCCTCCCTGGCGCGCGGAGCGCGGCAGGGGCGGCGCCGGGGGCGCCGCCAGGGGGGGTCCCAACGCAGATCCAAGAAATCCGCGCGGACCGTCAAAAGTCCATGATTATGCCGTCTTGTCTTCTTCGAGCTGTGAAGCAGCCATCGGCTCATCATTGCTGAAGTCGCTGTCCAAGGACATCTCTTTGGTCCACGCCTCGTGGAGCCTGGGCGTCGGCGCCGCGGTGCTGCCATGAACACCTCCTTCTGGAGTGCCCAGGGCGCCGTTGCTGCCGCCGCCTCCTGCGTCGACGTTGTTATCCGGCGCCCTCCTCGACACCCTTGTCCGCGAGCATCGGCTGCCGACCTCTGGCCAGCCCATCTCCTGCAGGCACGCGAGCATGCCCCGCTCGTGCAGGAAGCAGACCCTCTCCTGCAGGTCCTGGATGCACGATATCTGCTGCCGCAGCATCTGGATCATCTGCGTGCTCTCGATCGACACGCCCTGCATGCCAGACGAGAGCGCGAGGTGGCACACGCCGTTCTCGAACTCCTGCTCGTCCAACTCCCCTGAATCGTCCACGTCGAGAAACTCGAACAAGTCCGACAACAACGCTGGCTGAATTATGTCCCGCAAGTCGTCAGGTATGGAGATCGTATCGAAGTCGATCTCGCTGAACTGTATGTGCCCGTCCCCGGATTGGTCCAGGGCCTTGAACACCTGGTTTATCTGCGGCTTCAGGTCCCTGAGGCGTCTGCGCACCGCGAGGGCGGCCATGTCGGCGTCCGTCTTTGCGCACCCAATGGCATGATCGACTATGAGGGCAGTCACCAGGTTCATCAGGCACACAGGTACCACCAATATGACGGTAATGAAGTACACGCACAAGACAGGCCTCACTTTGATGATCGGCACGTAAATCGAAGCGATGGAGTCGTAGTTCGCAAACTGCACCAAGGTCAAAATCGCCATCGGGAGCGAGGAGAAGTGGAGCTCCATCAGCTGGGCCGTACGCGGGTCGCCCTGCAGGACCTCGTCCTCGGCCATCAGCTGCACCCCTATGCAGCCGAAGAGATATAAGCTGCCGAAGATCAGCAGACAGGCCGATGTGACGGTGCGCGCCGAGCCGATCATGCCGCGCACGAGCTTCCACATGTCCTTGAAGAGCTCCATTGCCCGCAGCGCACGCACCAGCCTCAGCAGCCGGAGGCTGCGCACGACCAGGACCTGCTCCAAGAAGCCCAGCTCGTCACCGCTGTCCATGAGAGCCAGGAGAGAAGGCAGCATCCACTCTGAGAAGACGCCGACGGAGACTAGAAAGAAGTCGAAGATGAACCAAGCATTGTGGAAGCAGTGCCTGCCCCACGCAGCCAGCAGTATGCCGACCTCCACGACGTAGAACGCCAGGAACACGTTCTCCACGGCCTCGAGCGTGCTGATGTCCCTTCCGTCCAGCTCCCACTGCAACGAAATGCCTATGCAGAGGCTGTTGGAGAAGATGATCACGCCAACGAAGGCGTCGAAGAACTTGGAGTGCGAGATGCGCCTGCAAAACCTTGACAAACCCCGAACACCTATCTTGCTGCGCAAGCTCGACCCGTGAAGAGATGAATTTGCACTCGCACGAAAGTCCCAGCTGGTTTCCAGTGTTCGCATGGCGTTGTCCTTCAGGTTGCGCCCAGCCCGATAAAGGTCTCGGCGTGCAATCGCATCCTGCTGCGCGCTGTTCGCGTTACCCCTGGCGTCGGTGCCCGTCATGGAGCTCGAGCTGTCGCTGCGCAGGGGTACCTTGCCCTTGGCCGGCGACTTCACCATGAAAGTGCGCGGTGAACCCGACGTCGCGTGGCTGGTGGCGTTGCTTTGCACGGTGTGCCAGAGGCCCGGCCTGGCCTGGAGCTCCGCGTGGCTGGAGCCGTCGCCGGCCGACCTCAGGTCCTGCAGGACCTGCAGGATCGCCTGCTGGCCCTGCTGCATCTCCCGCAGCTCGCGCCGCATCTTCTGCTCCTGGCGTTAGCTCGGGCGTGTCCCCCTACAGGGGGATGCTGGACGAACACACAAACAAAGACCCCCAAAATGCTCCCAACGACCCCAAACCTAGTCGAAGCATCCTCCCCCTACGACTTTGAAACCACTCCTGAATCTGACCCCTGCAGAAGGGGACACGCCCGACTGGCTCCTGGCGCCACAGGTCCCCGATCTGCCCGCGCAGCTCGGCGTCGTCCTCGGCGTGCCCGGCCGGGCCCGGGTCGGCGTCCCCGGCGGCCCGCGGGTGGCCCGGCCACGGGCTGGGCCCGGCCTCCTGGGCGGCAGGCCGCGACATCGTGCCGGGCATCGTGCCGCGGCGGGCCTCGCGGTGCGCTGAGTCAGCCCTTCGGTCGGGCGTGGCCCCCTGCAGGCGGATTGGTTGTCGGCGGTGGACAGACCTCCCTTTGGTACACCTCCCCTGCGTGAAAACGGCCTGGGACCAGAATCGACGGGCCTGGACCCGCAGAAATGACGGCCGCGACGCCCTCTCGCGAACCGAAAACGGCCAATTCCTTAATCGACGTGTCAGGGTAGGTCTACCCACCTCCGAATTTGGGACGCAAAACTTTAAAAAAAATCAACAATATTTAAACATAGCGTTTTTCAATACAAAAAACTACCTCTGACAATTGATGAACTATTTTTGAATACTCCTCCTGTAGAGGGACAGGCCCGACTGAACGCTACCCCCAGGGGGCTACACGCGCGCGCCAGGCCCCCCCCGCGCCGGAGCTTGAGCCAAAAGTGGGCCCGCAAAGGGGCGCCAGTGGGCCCGTACGCGGGGCCTTGGTGGGCCGCCTCGTCGCGGAAGAGCCTTGGTGAGGCCAGGCGGAGTTATTGATGCGAACTCTCACTGCACCGACCTTGCAGACGTGCTGCAACGTATGGTTGCATGGATTTCTGTTAGTGCAAAACCCCGAAAGGGCGGATGAAAAACGAAGCGAGTTTCGCGCGGATTTCCTGTGGTCATCATTCCTGGGCGACAAAAACCCGCACTACATACACTTCGAAATCCTGAGCGGAATCCTCCAAGGCAATCCGGGCCCATCCCATTGTTTTCCGAGCGAAACCCGCTCTGCGATGTTGGCGCCATGAGATCTCTGAGTGACCCCCTCCAAGAGAGCCCGAGAATACCACGACGCAGCGAGCGCAGCCCTCACCTTGCGTGAAGTCGGGCCTGCCCCTCTACAGGAGGCACATCCAAACATACATTGCAACACAAATCGTCAGGCGACGATTGCTTTCTACTATTTCCTGATACTCTTGCACGTTTGTTTGGGCGCCCGAGTTATCCGGGGTAACTCGGGTCCGGGGTAACTCGGGTTTGGATTCCCGAAAAAGGAACCCGAGTTAACCCTGACCCGAGTTACCCCTGATGATTCGGGGCTCTGATTTGTGGCGTTGTTGTTTCCCCCGCTGTTCGCCCAAAACCTGCCTGTGGGAGGCCAGGCCCGACCTGAACCTGGCGCCCGCCCTCGACCCGCGCAGCACCCGCCGGCGGCATCCGCCCCCCTCTCCGTGGGCGCCGCCCCGGCGCTCTCCGAAGCCGCTCGGATGCCCACGACGGCCTTCGAAGCAGCCCCGGCAGGCCACCAAAGGCCGCCGAGGTGGCCCAATGGGGCCCCAAAGCGGCCCGAACTGCTCTGCAGTCGGCCGAGAGGCCCAAGATGGCCAAGGAGGGCTCCAAGAGGACACCCCGGAGGGCCGCAGGAGGTTCAATTCACGGATGTTCCTCAAGCTCGGGAGCAGGCTCCGCATTCTCGCCCTGTCGGGCTTCCGTCCGCTCCAGATGACCCAAGCGAACCTCTAAAAATGACCCTGGAACGGCCCACGATGGCCCAGAAATAACCCAAGAAGCTTCCAAGACGGCCTCAAGACGGCCCAAGAGGGCCTGAAGACGGCCCAAGATGACCCCAAGAACCCTCTACTAAGCTGGCCCAGGACAGTCCCACGACGGCCCAAGAAGACCCCGAAGGGAGCCTTGGCTCAGAGACGGCACGAGCGATCCCCATAACAACCGCAGAGGGCCCGAAAACGGCACAAGAGGGCCAAAGAAACCCGAATCACTACTGCCTCGTAGGAGCTCAACACAGCCCCAGCACGGCCCAAATGAACTCCGTGATAGCTCCACAAGACGTGAAGACGAAGCGTGTCAGATGCTTGTTCCTCTTCCCCATCCTCCTCCTACTCTCCTCATGCTCCTCCTCGTTCTCCGACTTGTTTTCCCTCCCCTCCCCCTCCTTTTCCTTATCGTCGTACCCGTCGTCACCATGACCACCCCCAAGATCATCTTCAAGCCCTGCAATCGCCACACGGAATTGCTGGGTGCGCGGCGAAGGAACGTGCCGCAACGCAGCTGGATGTGAAGGATGATGGCGCGATGTAGGTTTGTTCCCGATGGGCCCACACGCCCACCCCCCCCGCGAGAAGCCCGTGCCGATCTGTCGGCGTCGCGGGATCTATGCGGTGCCAGCTACGCGGTCGTGACAATGACAAACCAAACCCGCGCCCTTCGCATCCTGTGGAACAGAGGCGCCAACAATCCACAAGGAAAACCCAGATGAGGCGCAGAAGGTTCTGCCGCGACGCCGACAGAGCACGCGACGCCGAAGAGGTGCAAGCGCGCGCGAGGCAAAGACGGGCCAACTACCCACAATGCGCCACGCGGCCCGGATTGATTTGAAACAAACTCGCAGGGAATGCTTCCCCTTTCTGTTCAAGCGTAGCTCGGGTAAGCCGCATCAGCGATGCACAAGCGGCGCGCTACTGTGAAGCGCGCGGTCGCGAATGTCTGGCGTTATCCACATACATGACGCGCGCGCACGCGCTGGCTCGGTGCGCCACTTCCAAGCCAGACAGAATCCACGTCCTCGCGCAACACGATCCCTCCGCTAGAGTGCAATGTGCAAGCCGTTGGGCGCGCACCGCGCCCCGCCTCGCGCAGTTGCAAACGCCGCGAACTGCTCGAACGACTCGCGCGGCCGCAGCCATACGCGCGCCCGTGATGCAGCCATCCCCGTCGGGATTGACGAGACCAAACCGAAGCGCGCAAATCCAGCAAATACAGCAGTGAACGAAAAGGAGTGAAGAGCAAGGCCAGCAACTAAATCAACAAAAGCAGCCGCAATACAAACATAGCAAAAAGGAACTCCCTAGTGAACATGGTCCCGTCTGCGGATGAATATCTGGCCACACTGGGAGTGCAACCACGAGAAAAGTTGACCAAATCGCATGCAAAACGGGTGTTTGAGCTGTGGCCCGTGCAATCCACGGAGCCCCCGCGTGCTATAGGGGTGAGAAGGCGTGTGAGCTGGTTGACCGTCCCCCTCGGCCTTTCCCCCTCCTCGGGGGTCAAGTTTGCCGTGAGGGGTGGGCGGGCGGGGGGGGTCTGCGAACTCCCCGACGCACCTCCCGGGCCCTCTGAGCCTCCGCCCCGGACGCCTCTCGGGTGCCCAGGTTGCCCTCCACGAGCGGCCCCCAGTTCCGAATGGCCACGCGGAGGCCCAGGAAGGCGCGCGCGAGGCCAGAGCCATTCGGAAACATCCGCTCCTCTCGTGATGGTCGCGCGGGGGGAACCAACTGATACCGCTGATCCCCGGACCTCTCCCGGGGTGCGTTCTGACCAGCATGTCGAGGCGAATCCAGCGGTGGCGACGAGGGTGTCCCAGGAGGCCCGACAGGAGGAACACGAGGGAAGGGTAGCGGCATGGGTACCCTTTCCTCCTCTGACGCTCTGCGGCCTTCTCGCCTCCGCTGGTTTCCTCTGAGGCCCCAGGGCGGCTCCCGCACCGCCCAGGAGGAGCGCGGGAAGAGGAGGGGGAGGAGGAGGAGGAGGGGGAGGAGGAGGAGGAGGAGGAGGAGGAGGAGGAGGCGGAGGAGGCGGAGGAGGAGGAGTGGGAGGAGGAGGAGGAGGAGGAGGAGGAGGAGGAGGAGGAGGAGGAGGAGGAGGAGGGCACCCCCTAGCTTGGGACACCCCTTTCTGCACCGAGGTCCTGCGGAACGGGCCCAACGAGGGCCTCCACGGCCCCCAGAAAGGGCGCACGAAGAAGCCCGCGAGGCCCGACGGGCTCCCCGACGGGGCCCCCAGGAGGTCGCCGACAGGACTCCGAGAGGAAGGGCCCGCACGTTCTTCGTCGCCTGGCTTTGTGCCCGGGCGTCGTTTCTGGATGGGTTGCTTCGATCACACTCGCCCATCAACATGTCGGGGTCCGACTGAAGGGCGTAGGCCTCTTGACGACATCACTATTCCAGAAGACTGCAGGCGGCGCCACTGCAGGACCGCGAATCAAAGACCACCCACGTGTCGTCCACGTGCATGTTCCACATACTCGGTTTCAGGCTTGACTCCCACCAGCAAAAAGTATTCAGCGACCGCAATTCGCAATTATTTGTTTGTTTGGCAAGGTTTCCACGGGGGGGGTCTCAAGTTGCAACAATCAAACACACAAGACGCGCTTTAGCGCTGCACTCGGCCGATCCTCTTGCCAGCCGCTGCACGGGCTGAGGCAGAGGCCAAGATGTGGGCGGATCCTTGCAATTCGCAACGAACAAATCCGCCGGCCCTTTTGTGGGGCCACCAGGCTGTAGGACTAGGTTGGTGCTCCCTGCGCCACTTGCAGTTTCAAGTCTCCAATGTTACAGTCCTGCTTTCTGCTTCCCACTGTAAATTGTTACTGCCCACGAGAGGGGGGGAGCCGAAAAGGGGCCTGGTTACCACCCCACGAGAGGGTTCTCAGAACTTTTTCTGGGGTCGTGGGATATATAAAAAAAACACACACACACACACACACACACACACACGAATTCTGCGCATCCGGAGCCAACAACCCTCGCACATTGCACCATGCTCGCGCTGCCGAAGCCACATTCCTCGGCAAATTGCACCGTATTCGCGCTGACGAAGCCACAATCCCTTCCGAATTGCACCATACTCGCGCTGTCGAGGCCACAATCCTTCGCAAAGTTCTCCACAGTCGCACTGCCGAGGCCGCAACCCCTCGCAGATTGCGCTGTACTCGCGCTGTCGAGGCCACACTCTCTTGCAAATTGCGCCATACTCGCGCTGCCGAGGCCACAATCCCTTGCAAATTGTGCCGTGCTCGTGCCGCCGGCGCAACAACTCCTAGCACAGTGCGCCATACTCGCGCTGCCGAGGCAACAATCCCTGGCAAAGTGCGACATGTTCGCGCTGTCGAGGCAACGATCCCTGGCAAAGTGCGCCAGAGTCGCGCTGCCGAAGCCACACTCCCTCGCAAATCCATGCTCGCGCTGCCGATACCAAATTCCTTAGCAAATGGAGAAATTGTC